GTGGAAAAAAATATTGCGAGGCCAACCGTGTGTCTCTTGTGATGAAGAACAGTGGTGGGAAGATTTAATAATGGTGCACATTGGTTTTAATAAACAAAGTAGATCCCAGTGCTGATGGATGATGGAAGTGGAAGGGGTTATACCAAGTGGGTCACTGTTTTTTTTTTGTTTGCCACTTTCCAAATCCTCCTGTAGGTGACAGTATAGCTCAAAGGTCAATCCGGTGTCCCTCAATGAATGAGAAAGAAAATTTGTTGGTCACAGGTTTGAGTACCTTTCTCTAAATGTAGTAAATGCAGATAAGTCAGCTCAAAATTATGTAATTCTGATGGCCTCGCAATATTTTTTTAAAATAATTTATAAGAATGCTACATCTATTTTGTACTTTGTAACCACAAAATATCTCCTGGATGTAAACAGAACCTAAGCATATTCGACTTACTGCCATCTTAAAATGGTAAGATTCAGAATACCAGCTTTTTTCAGGTGTGCATTGACCATATAGTGAAAATTATATACACTGTTGCTATATGCTGTAGTATACAAGTATTTCATATTAGCAGTATCTGAATTGCAATGCTGATATACATGAGAAAGAAGCCTGTTTTTTTTCCTTATTTCTACCATCAGCTTAGCTCATGTGGCATGTTTATTGTAAACACCCATAAGAAAAAAGGACTTATTTAAAGTTCAGTTTGACTGAACTGACACCATGCATTTGTCAAAACAATATGGACCAGGCATGCTGATTGTTGGTTCAGATTAAGGCTAGTAAGTTTTCCTGTTAACATTTGACATGCATACTCTCAGGACATAGGCTTCTCAAGGATAAGAACAGTTTTCTGATTTCACTTATATTTTCCAATTTTTTGGCAGCACAGGACATGATCTTATGTCTGTGGGTAGCCCCAGAGACTGCTTGCAGGACTCTGTCAGGTGATTTCAGCAATTGGGAAAAAAACCTGCTGTGGTTCCCCCTCTGATAAGCCAGCACAGAGCAGTCTCTTCCTCAGTCCCTCCCTCTACTCTTCCTACTCTTCTCCATTGAAATAAACTCTTATGCCTCGTACACTATAAGAAAATCGTACAAAAATTTTCGAACGAGGACCGATCGTCCGATAATCGGATCATCAGTACACAGCTTTCGAGAGCTGATCATGACGATTCGTACAACAATATCCGAAGGGACAAGTGCAAAAAATTTTCTCGTACGACACCAGATTGCATGATTTCCGTTTAATCAGTACAGTAGTCGTCTGAAAATACAATACAAATACAATGCAATACATGACATCACTTTTGAATTTCTTTTCTTTCAAAGGAGAATTTTCGTATGTTTAGTAACCTTTTCCCTTTCGATGTGAGACTAGCAGGCGAAAAAAAAATGGCCGATTGTTCGTCCGATATTCTCATCGTGTGTACGGGGCATTAGAGCTGAGGTTCAAAGTTTACAGTACTCCACATTGTGTTTGCACATCCAACTACACAGTAAAGTCTGTGGGTAGTCATAGGTATGTGAATTGGATGGACCAAGGTTAAACAAGCTATTGAAACCTCAGGCAGTCATGAATTTAGGTAAACAATTTCGGCCCATGTCTATGAGCACTAGCAGACATCCCCAGCTGACTGGCCTTGGGGGAAACAGATATTTGAAAACATTGCTATCTTCTGTCAAAAGACGACAGCAATCACATAATCACTGCTGTATGCATAGGTATTTATACCATAAAAACCTGTTTGTCCATGACTACAAAGTCTCAGAAAACCAGTGGTGGTAGTTGTGATTCTAAGAAGATTTTAAAACAGGTAGCCAGCACTTTTGAAGTAAAATTCTGTAGGTGGGCACCAGGCTTTTGCATAGGATGTTTCAGATTTTGTCTCTAAAATAGAAACATTGCAAAGCACAAAGGAAACCACAGAATAATGAAGATAACGAGCTAACCCCATTGATGTTTTCTGTATGTAAAAAAAGATTTATTTATTTATTTCAGGTACTTATATAGCGCCGTCAATTTATGTAGCACTTTACATATATATTGTACATTCACATCAGTCCCTAACCCTCAAGAGTCGTACAATCTAAGGTCCCTAACTCACATTCATACACATACTAGGGCCAATTTAGACAGGAACCAATTCACCTACCTGCATGTCTTTGGAGTGTGGGAGGAAACCAGAGAACCTGGAGGAAACTCACGCAGGCACAGGGAGAACATGCAAACTCCAGGCAGGTGGTGCCGTGGTTGGGATTCGAACCAACAACCCTAGTACTGCCAGGCGGAAGTGCTAACCATTTAGCCACTGTGCTGCCCACAGTGGCTAAATGGTTAGCCACTGTGGGCAGCACAGTGGTTTTATTAGTACATAGTTTCTTTTGGCTGAGGCTCCATGTGTTGTCATGCATCAGACTTTAGGGCCACTGTGTGAATGTTCGTCTCAAAAATGGCTCTCAAAATAGTCAGGAGACCCCCACAACAGTGTTTTGTTGGCACAGACTAATTCCTACTTCATATGGTGGATTATCAGATAATTTCATGCCTTTTTTTTTACCCCAAACACTACCACTGTGGGTTCTTTGCTGTCAATCTTGTGCAGATAAAGTAAGGCACAAAAATATAAGTAATAAGATATATTTTACTAATCATATTGTGATCTCAGATACTGATATGGATAAGCCAGATGTACTTGGATTCTCCCAACTGTGCAGAAATTCACTTTTATCCGAACTCCATTGAAGTCAAAGGGGAGCCAAATCTTTAAAATAAATTATTGAGATTTTCAAGACTTAAATGCAAGGGATTGTCAAACAAAGGTCAAGGATCATACTAAACCTTTATCCCAGATGAGGTTCTGATATAAATATGAAGGGGGACTGCATGTAAAAAAAAGTGTGGGGTTCCCCTTAAAAAAAATCAGACCTTTAGTCTTGATGAAGGTGTTGAAGAATTTTAAGGGGTACCTCACACAAAAATATATATGTGGGGTCCCACCCAAAATCCTTACCAGACCCTAATCTGAGATTGCAGCCTAGCCATCCAGGAAAAGGAGGGGGAAGCAGCAGCATGGATCCCTCCCCTCCAAGACAAACAATACATTTACTATTAAAGTGTTACACAACCCACAGCTGTAAAATCAGTCTGTATATGCAGTAAAGCATGCTTGTTATACTCACTGTGGAACCTAAGGGGTTAATCCTCCGCATTGTGTAAAAATGATGTTTGATCCTGTCTTTGCTGATTCTCCCCTTCTTCTAATGTCTCCAATCCATCTGCTGATAGAACAGAGCCTTGGGGGCAAGCTGCACATGCTCAGTTTGGTGTGTATTGCTGGAGAGTTTCTTCCTGGGAGAGTGTGATCAGCACAGGGCCAATCAGCGCTGTCCAGACAGATGGTTAGGGGTTATGCATCCTCCTAGGACAATCAGGCGAGAAAGAAAACTCCTCCACGTTTTAACCAGTGCTCTGCTGAACACTGATAGAAGTCAGAAGACTGCTCTAACTGCTGATGAGAAAAGGTATTTAGCAGTTTATATTTACTAAAATAATTGCATTTCCATGTTCTGGGTGCTGTGGGAGGCCAGATATAGTGAATACAGGGTCCTGGGTTTAGTAACACTTTAACTATTGTATATGTGGACCATAAAAAGATGTGTTAAGTTTCTAGGAGCACAAATACGTTGCTGAACATAAGGGCTGTAGGATTCTATTATTACCTTAGGGCCTATTTGAAAACATAGAGGAATAAAAGTGACAGTGTGTTATACCAGATGGCAAGAGGAAAAATGTAGCTTTCAATAGCTGTCTGATTATCTGATCAAAGCCAGTTTACATTTAGTCGCATGAGTTACTGTACATTGCTGCTGTTTATTTCCAAATGTGTCCAGCTGTGCTATAGATAATAGCAACTATTTATTATCTAACAGAGCCTCATATTGTTGTTATGTATGATGCCTTTTAGTCAGACACTTATTTTGTTCCTGACATTTCATCCACAGAGTGTTGTGATAATTTTCTATAGCAGTGTTTTCTGAAGTATGGGACATGATACGCTAGTTGTGCACATCCTCGATGTAGGTGGTACACAGCAGGGTTTCAGATTTATGTGTAAAGCAACCTTGTAGGCGAATATGTTGATTTAATCAGCATAGTGGATTTACTTGCTTTTATGATGTATGCATTTACAGAACCGCTACTGAAAAGTCTTGGCTGTTTCTTGTATGGGCTTTGCAGTGTCATCATGTAAAACTAAAGCAGTGCTGTAGCTATTTACATGGCTAGTACACATAATAAAATAATAAAAGTGGTTCTTTACTTTTGTTACTTTACCAGGTAGCATAGAACAGTAAAGAAAAGTGTAATAAAAAAATAAAAAAAAAAAACATACTGCACATAGGGCATATACAGACCTCAGACATACACACCTTTTGATGATTTTGAAAAACCTTGACAATTACTAACACCAAACTGTCATGTACATACAGTATAAAGTTTTATAACTGAGCATAGCACTTATCTGGTGTGCCATTTTAACGAAGCACCAGATAAGGGAATTCCACTTATTTAGGAATTCCTACTAATTCAGTAAGTACCGTATTTTTCGCTCCATAAGACGCACCTGTCCATAAGACACGCCTAGGTTTTAGAGGAGGAAAACAAAAAAAAAATATTCTGAACCAATGGACTGCAGACACAGTACAGGAGGTGACCAGAGACTGCGGACATAGTACAGGAGATGACCAGAGACTGTGGACACAGTACAGGAGATGACCAGAGACTGCGAACATAGTACAGGAGATCACCAGAGACTGCAGACATAGTACAGGAGATCACCAGAGACTGCGGACACAGTACAGGAGATGGCCAGAGACTGCGGACACAGTACAGGAGATGACTAGAGACTGCAGACATAGTACAGGAGATGACCAGAGACTGCGGACATAGTACAGGAGATGACCAGAGACTGCGAACATAGTACAGGAGATGACCAGAGACTGGACACAGTACAAGAGATGGCCAGAGACTGTGGACATAGTACAGGAGATGACCAGAGACTGCGGACACAGTACAGGAGATGGCCAGAGACTGCAGACATAGTACAGGAGATGACCAGAGACTGCGGACACAGTACAGGAGATGACCAGAGACTGCGGACACAGTACAGGGGATGACCAGAGACTGCAGACACAGTACAGGAGATGACCAGAGACTGCGGACATAGTATAGGAGGTGACCAGAGACTGCGGACACAGTACAGGAGATGACCAGAGACTGCGGACATAGTACAGGAGATGACCAGAGACTGCGGACAGTACAGGGGATGACCAGAGACTGCAGACAGTACAGGGGATGACCAAGAGACTGTGGACCCTTGGGGAGGGAGTGGGTACCTGAATTTGACAGGTATCCTCTCCTAATTTAGCGGAGTTGTCTTCCCTTTAGTGTGGGCACCTGGCTGCATTTTCTGAATGGTCCGGGGTCTTCTGGCACCTGTGCCCACACTAAATATTCCGGCACCGGAAGACTGTACATCGCTGGACCGAGGAACAGGTAAGGTACTGCTGCAGAGAAGAGCCGAGTGGCAGACGGAAATACCGGACTGGCCGCTCGTTAATTGCTACATAAGACGCACTGACATTTTTACTATTTTTTTGGGAGGAAAAAGTGCCATCTTATGGAGCGAAAAATACTTTTTAACCTTAAGCCCGTATACTGTACATGACCAGAAAATCGCATGAAAAATTGCAGCATTGGAAGCGATTGAACGATAACACTGTTCAACAGGTAAAAAGTTTTGGGCATAAAATTAGCTAATCTTACATAATTTTGGGGTGCTGAAAACGAAAATGACCCTAAAAAAATGTTGATTGGCTCTAGTTTCCATGATATATTCACCCATCTAATGACGTAAGCCATTCAAAATTATGATGCAACTTCAGCTGCATATTGCGCAATTGATACTGTTGACCAATAGAAAATTGCATGTATACTGAGATGATGCAATATTAGCCTTTAATTGCATCACTTCACTGCATAAAAGCTGCAGTATCTGTAGCTGATTGTAGTTCGACAGCGTCTTTACATTTCGTTTTATGCTTATATAGGCTACTCAGTAATGCCTCGAACTTGTGTGAATAAAGCAGATAATTTCTGCTATATCTGCGGTGAAATAACTTTTATCTCACAAAAAAGGAGGATAACAGGAATGATTAAGAAAGCCTACAACTTGTATTTTGGCTGCAAGATAGGAGACCAGGACAAGAGCTGGGCACCACATATATGCTGCAATTCTTGTGGGACGGCACTGGAGCAATGGTTGAATGGAAAAAAGGCATCTATGCCTTTCGCTGTGCCAATGATTTGGAGAGAGCCAACTGATCATGTTAGTAATTGTTACTTTTGTATGGTGCCTCCAATTGTAAAAGGGCTAAATAAGAAGAAAAAGTTATCTGTGCACTATCCAAATATTCCATCGGCAATACGTCCAGTTCCTCATGGAGAGGGGCTACCAATTCCTAAAGCACCAGAATCCTTCGTGGTTGAGTCAAGTGAGGAAGAACCTGAAGCGTGTAGTCACGTGCAGTTGTAAGAGATAGCCCTTTCCTCGAATACAAGAGAAAAGCCAAGAGAAGCAAAACCGACACAAACTGAAGACAAAACTAGTGAGAATCCTAAGTATTAAAATGATTCAACTTAGCTTATGGCTATAATTGTTCTTGGTAATCCTATGCAATATATTATGCCATTTAGGCTTTGTTATGTAGTCAATATCACTTGCTTTATATTTGTGGAAAGACATCTATCTATATAATTATTGTGCATTATGTAGTCATTACACCTATAGTAGAAAACTTTCCGTTTACAGAAAAACTAGAGCCAATTGACAAATTTCATTGTTATATTTGAACTCAGAATGTGAAATTTATTAAGAAATGGATCCTTTTGTTTCCAAAACTGGCAAAAAATAAAAATTTGTTGAACAGTGTAATCTGATCCTTAGTACACAGCAATCGTCCAAAATTATTCAAAGGGACAAGAACGAACATTTTTGTCGTATGATACCAGATTGTACGATTTCTGTTTAACCAGTACAGTTTTTGGACAAAAATATAGTACAAATACATTACATCACTTCCAAATTTTTATTCTGTCATACAAGAATTTTTGTAACTTTAGTAACCTCTTCACTTTCGATATGAGACTAGCATGCAAAAAAAAAAGACAATCATTCGTCCAATATTCTCTGCATGTATATGGGACTTTACTGGTGGGTGACATCCATTTCTGCATTTTACAGCTGAAAAACAGTTAAAACTTATTTTTTGGAACCACACAAGAATGTTTCCAGTAGTGATGTACTATAAAATGATTAACTATGAATGGCTTAAAAATAAGTGATCTTTTATGGTAGCTAGAGATGGAGTGATTATTGAAAATAACATATACAGTATGCAGGGCTGTGGATAGGGGGGTACCACCAGTCCTGTATGGGGTCCAGGCCTGCAAGGGAGCCCAGGCAGCTGGGGGAATCTGATGTGGGCAGGGAGGGTGATCAGCGCGAAGGGGGCAATTACTAAAACCGATCCCCTGTATGGTTCTCTACAAAAAGTTGGTTTCTTCTCCTCTCCCTCCCGCTGGCTTCCAGCTGCTGCAGAGAGAGCCATATTGGGGGATCGGTTCCAGTAATAGCTCCCCCTTCCCACATCCATCACCCTCCTTCTGCATCATATGTTTCCCCCTGCTGCCCAGGCCCCTGTGTGCCCCCACCCTTGCAGTATTGCCGGCTTCCCTCCTCTCCTTTTTATTGCCAGCTGCAAGCACACAATATAATCCTTCAGGATGTAGAACGGGGGAAGGGTGCGATAAATATACCACATTTACCAGCCCCTTCCTTTCCTGAATGGACACAATGAGTGATCGGTTCCAATCACTTGCTGTGTTCATTCATAACTGAAGCGTAGTAAACTATGTTTATTTGGAGAAGGGCCCTGTCAGGTTGGCTGTATGGGGCCCCGTGGTTTCTAACAGAAGCCCTGACAGTATGCTGAATATTCATGCGATTCTGCATATCGTTCAGGCTCCACTCACACTTGGCAATTTGGTATCACCAGTAAAATTGCCATGCTGCTGCCTGCGATTCTAAATTGTGGTAAAATCACAGTATAACACTTGGTGCACATTTGTGAGCCTTTCATTCTTAATGGCACGCCAAACGCAGTGTTAGTTTGACATTATTGTTATGTGACAGTGTTAATTTCATCAATGAAAATATTTTCATTGACTAAATTAACACTATTTTAGTCTATTAAAATACCACTAAAACTAAAAACATTCCGATGACTAAAATACGACAAAACTAAAATGGCATTTTAGTCAAAAAACTATGATTAAACCTAAATTGAAAATTGACATCAAAATTAAGAGTTGTTATATATTAGAATGGCTAAATCTATTTATGTAATGCATGTTCAAACCTTAATACCATAAATAATAACAGGTTATTAGATTTTTACTCCAGGAGTATATAATGAATTTGGAAATTCTAGAGAAATGCTTAAATAATGCATTTCAATTTACAGTAACTAAACCCATTATATTTTAGTCGACTAAAATGTATTCGAGATTTTAGACTGAAACAATTTAGATAACTAAAATACAACTAAAATACAACTAATGGCATTTTAGTTAAAAGACTATGACTAAAATTAAAATTGAAATTTGACATAAAAAATAACACTGGTGACAAAACATGTGAAGATCACTGCAAAACACAGGTTAAAAAACGTGCCTGGCTCAGTGCAAAAATTTGATACATGAGTTTCTTTGGTACATTTTTGGAGTGGAGGGAGGCCCATTCAAAACATTCTCTACATAAAAGCACAAAAAAAGCATGAAAAACCAGTTGTGACAGTGCTGCTTAGGTGTGAATGGGGCATCACTTCCATGGCCTGCCATGTGCAATTTGTTGCGCCAGAGAAGCTCTTGCACCTTTTTTGGGTGATGAACTTTGCAGAATTTTTTTAAATACACATTTTGCCACACAATTCTGTTATGTGGTAATTGTGGCAAAATCACACCTTGCTTGGGGTGCCAGTAGGAATAATAGCACCCAAACGCGTGTTGTGTGTTTTGCCGCCATTTGGAATCACCAAGGGTGAATGCTGCCTGCAGCAAATGCAATGCCAGTGCAGGAAAAAAAATGACAACCTGGTAAAGGATCATGTACACTAAAGACTGCAAGGCTGGTTTGTTTGCTACAGAGCTGCTATTTATTTATCCCCAATGTAAGATATTTATTAAATTATCCTTATACAGTAATACCTCGGTTGAAGAATTTAATTCGTTCTGCAGGACTTTTCTTATAGCAAAAAATTCTTAAACCGAAACCTTGTTTCCCATAGGAATGCATTGAAAACCAATTAATCTGTTCCGGAGATCATAAAAATGTAAACACTAATAAATACCGCATGAGTTATTTTATCACGTCATGTGGCATTTTAGTAGTGACAACCATGTGTTAATATTTCAGCTGTCAGTGGGGTTCCCCACTGACAGCTGAATGTAAAAGAATTGCCGGCAATTAAAAAAATAATTTTAAAAACTGCGTGGGGTCTCCCTTCCCATCCATACCAAGCCCTTCGTGTCTGGTATGGATTTTGAGGGGAACTCCCACGCCAAAATTTAAAACAAAATGGCGTGGGGGTCCTCCCCAAAATCCTTACCAGACCCTTTTCAGAGCATGCAGCCTGGCAGGTCAAGAAAGGGGGGGGGGGCAAACAATGTTTCTTTTTAGTTTCTTAAAAGAAACAACATTTCTGTTAACTTTGGGGAAAGTGACAGCTAATTCTGTGAGCTATAGTGAAGAAAAAAAAAAAGAGCCGGCAATTGCATTTAAAAATCAGCACTGACATACACTTCGTATTGCGAAAAAAATTCATACAAAATTTGTAAACCGAGGCATTATTTTCAGTGGATTTTCATTTGTAAACTGAAAATTACTTTAACCGAGGCGTTCTTAAACCTAGGTATTACTGTACTTGGAATACCTATTACATGAGTCTCCTTTGCTTTATGAGGAATATGGAGGATGAGCTTATGAGGTAAATGAAAGCTTGGAAGTAATACATTTACCAGGAATATGGAGATACGCTTATGAATACTACTGGAGGGTAATGTATTGTATTTAATATCACTATTTGGTGGTGGTCACGGAGTGCTCACTATATGAATTGAAGTGTTTACTTAAACATCCTATTTGCTTCACTTATTTACTACAGTTGATGTTAGTTGTACTTATATAATTTTTGGATATATATATTTTTTTTTTATTGCATGATTCACAAGAAA